GTAAAGCCCATTCCACACAATATACAATCAATGATGTGAAGTTGAAAAGCTGTGAACTCTCTAAAGATCTCGGAGTTTTGGTTGACACGAATCTGAAATTATCTAACACATCGAACATATAGTAAACAAGGCATATGCTACCCTTTTCGCAGTTTTTCGTAATACCTATACCACTGATGTAACCACTCTGGTACGCCTTTACAAGACATATGTACTGCCGCATCTTGAGTATTGTTCTCAGATTTGGAATCCCACACGTAAAAAGCAAATCATCAAGCTAGAAAAGGTACAGAAGTTGTTTACAAGACTGCTGTTCCATCGTGCTTTCCAATGTCACGACTCAATGCCAGTTATACCGAACGTTTAAGACAATTAGGCTTAAAGACGCTTAGACACAGGCGAACGATTGCGGACCTTGTTTTTTGCTTTCGCCTTCTACGCATGGAGACTAATCTGTCTCCAAGTAAATACTGGGTGTTCAGACCAAGTCATGAAAGAAGAGGCGGATTCAACTTACATTACCCTCGGATTCAAAAGAAAAATCAGACTCAATTATATAATTTTGTGCTCTACCGTGGCGCGAGGTGGTTACAACGTTTACCCACTGAAATTCTGTCGTCTGGTGACAGCCATAGTTTTAGAAAAAACTGATAAAGATCGATCTATTACAGCTTCTCCGGTTGGATGACTCATTTTAGTCTCAAACATCTGCCTTTTTTCAGTACATTTGAAGTCCTTGCTGTGTGCAGTATGTTTCCCGAGCATTTCGTCAATTTCTTCGCGGAATCGAAGGCAAAAATCAGCCACCATACATCCCAAAGAAGGTCTACAGAAAGTTTTGACATGAAGAAATTGGAAACGAGCACATGCAAACATTATATATGATCATGGTGAACTACGAATGGCCTCTTATTATATGTGTACTAATGAGTAAAGGGAATGAATACCCCTAGCTCCCTCGGATAACTGGTTCAGGCTCCTGCATTGTTGAGTATCTTCTTTTACACATTGAATGCCATACTACATTTTATCTTTGCTTATACTAGCTCCAACGTCACTGTGGTGACAAACTGTCTTTTTTTTACAAAACAGTACTTTTTGAATTTTTTTCTTTTCTCAGTTGCAATATGCAATTTATGCCTGAAAGAAAATTGGCATCTATAATTCAAATCACATCCGATATCATATATGGCAACCTTGCTTCTTCACTTATCCTGATGTTACCGTGGCCGGGAAGCATCTGTTTGGGCCACTCAAATTACGGCCACCGCCTCGTCACCATCCGATCGCTTCGTGCGGTTGCACATTTAATTAAAACTGACCCCGGTGAATCGAGGTGTGAGTGGAACATCGAGTTCTCCTTCGGGTTCATCCTGGATGTGGAGCCACCTCTGACATCAACTACTGCAATATGTATTGCATGATATCTGGTGTGCTTCAATTTAGCCATGATTCACTTCAAACTTTTTTCTTTGCAGAAGGCACATTCCTTAAATGTAATAAAATAACAAATAAAATATTTACTTATTACTTCAGCATGGCATCCAATGTGTTCCAGTCAGTTTAACCTCAGTGCGAAATCTAGGTCAATCAACGTTCCTTTCGAGTCATCTGTAGTTTCTACCATGTTCCTTTTACAGTGTATTTTTTTCTATAGTTTTTATGGCACACCTCGAGTGTATGGAAATAAATAAATAAATAAATAATGCAAGAACAAGCAAGTAAATGCCTTCGGGAAAGCTGCAGGAAAGGAGTCAAGGCTCGCGAAATTGGAGAAGAAATCAAAAGTTCTCTCAATAAAGGGGAAACCCTCTCCCGAGTTCTTGCTGTACCACTTGAAATCCTCACCCGAGTTCTTTGGCCACTCTGCGAGGGCTACACGGAAGAGGACCACGGTCAAAGGCGCTACTTCTAGTTGGGACAATAAACGGGGGAGGGATTGCCGTAGCGATAGCGAAAGCGGGATTCCCTCGTTCCCCTCCCCCCAGGACAGTTTCTCCGCTGTGAACAGTGACCGAATCATTGGGGTCAGACACTGCACGGGTCCCATCGCAATCCGTTTGCTCCGATTTAGAGAAGGACGAGCACTATTACACCGGACGGAGCCATCAGATCGATTCCACATAGTACTCCTGGCACACATTGTCATAGAGCTTTCCAAGAAAACGGGTGAGAAAGGGAAAGAACCGAGGGCAAAGTTCGATGGTGGAATTTGTACAAAGTAGGAGCAAACGAGTAAGGCGTTCAGTTGTTGTTTGGTGAAGCGGCGAGCATGAACTCAAAGTGCGTGTCTGTGCTCGTGCACATTAGGAATTTTGCTCTTTATTTTTTTTCTGGAGGAGTAACTACATTCAAAGCAATCACTCCGTGTCGCAAGGTAACGCGTTTAATTCACCAGGGATCCTGCATTGGTGCAACGTCCGTCATATAGCGTGTTTCCCAAATCCCGATCTTATGCAAGGCGAACTCGTTCTACACAAGACGCGCTTCAAGGATATTTTCTGCCACGAATATCGTCTCTACATCGTGCATTTCGCCTTTTTTCACCGCTTGATCGTATTCTGCCCTCGATGACTCGATGTTCCCGTGAGCGAGCCAAAATCGGCAAGAAATCGCTTTAGGGTCATGAAATGGGCAGGTGCCTGCGAGGTACAAGTACGGCCAGACTGCCATGGGGCCGCACAATATGCAATCGCTTCTTCAAGGACACGATCCGCGATAAGGAGCGAGGTAAAAACGTTGGAATATGGAAGAAAAGTAGCCGAGGACTTTTCTGTGAAAAGAAAATGCAAAGCGAACGTCGGAAACGCCTTTAATAGGACCCTAGGACCCCTCCAGCTGGGCCAAAGGAGCGCATATAGAGGATGAGTCTATGACGCATTCCTTGTAATGAGTCCTACCCTATGACCTCACAAGAGACAATGGAGCATCCATTTCATGCTACTTGTCTGGTAGGTCACTTTTGGCTGGAGAGCGGACTTTGAAGGGAGATTGGAGGCGGAGTCACTGGAAAAAGGAGGTGCCACTGTATCAACTTTGCGCCCTAACTCCTTTCCCGTACAACTCCGCCGCGAAATTGGCACGATGTTGTCCACTGCGGACCCCATTACCCCCACAATCTTTTACAATTTCATAGGTCATCGCGGACAGTTCATTCAACGCGCTGCGCACGGTGGTATCCACAACGGCTTTAGACCCACGTCAAGTGGGACATTATGCACTATTTTTTTGGAAATATTTTATTATACTGCAACGAACATTATCCCTATTCAATGAACAACGAAGTGTCGTAATCGTGCACATAAAACTTCGGCACGAACACGTACAATCATTGACGACAACCGCAACAGTTCTAGTTTTGTCCATAAAATCATTAAAGGTTGTCTGAACGATGAATAGGAAAGAAAGACGGGCCAAGCCGATAGGAAGACGGAAACGCCTTGGGGCCCGATTTAAAATGACACTTCATCAGGAAATATTATATATATAACGATCTACCATAGGTCTGAATGTTGAACGCTGGATAAGCCAACGTTTCATTTTCACCGACATATTTAACTAAAAACAGAAGAAGAAATCAGACCGAGTGATGAAAAAAAAAAAAAGTGAATAAAAACTAAATGATCATCAGATAGTTGTCAAGACCAACAACTGCATCTCACCTGGTAAATACATCTTAAAGCATATGTATGAGGGGGGTCGAAAAAGAAGAAGAAAAAAAACCAACAATGGAAATCGATGAGAGCACAGAGACATAGACATAAAACAATAAATTTATAATAAAAATTCAATTGGATTGGACGAAAGAAAAAACGGGGAATTACATAGAAACGGCAATTTATCAGCGGAACAAGTAGAGAACGCACGAATGAAAGTGGGGAAAAATAATAACGGGGGAGGCATATAACAGACTAGCGCCAAAGTTGGAGATCATATCGTGGCAAATCAGAATTATTCAATTCGATGACTCGTTCCTGAACGGGCGAGTCGTCATCGCCACGTTTACAGAATAAAAAGAAAAAACATTGTGACTTAAACAATAGGAAAACAAAATGACAACGAAAATAAACCGGCGTTGGAGTGTGCAGATCACACGAAATGCTCGTCTCAATGGATTTTATAGTTGAAGATAAGAAAATATACTAGATTATAAGTTAAGGATAACAGGCGGGATACAGTACCCCAAACTGCACGTAGAACTGTGCGTAGGAACTGCGAATGCACAACACCTCTCCTTTTTCGCCTAGACAGCCCTGGCCAGGTACACCCAGCATCCCAGCGATGGAGTAGGCGTGGTTGTGTTCTTTACTTGAATGTGGCGTAGGATGCATTCGCCGGATATTTGTATTCTATACAAGTGTAACCCTACCCTACAGCGGACAAAGACAAGCTTGCAACTGCTCTAGAAATGCAGTAACCCTTCGAAAGCGCAGCTGCTACCACCTCTGAATTCGGGACGCAGCCACGGACTCTACAACTACGAGATATGGAGTGAAGAAAACTCGCCCCACCCCGGATTTAGTACCATCAGATCGCACAAGCACGCTCAAAAGGCCCAGTCAATGATGAAACGTACCTCGACCAGGATGTGCATAAGGCGTATAACACAGAGGATAAAGATCAAACATCAAACGGACTTACTCGGTACGGTATGCCTAACTGTATGCTTTTAGGGGTCTTACACATTCATATTTACGCGCAATTTTTGTGGATACGGTATCCCGCCTGTTTTCCTGAACATATAATCTTGTAGGAAACATCGCTTAGCAATTGATAAGGGACGGGACAGGGGACAGACTAGCCACCGATAGCCATTTCATAGTTCAGCGTTCTATTTTCCGCGCTATGGCATCATACGCCTACGCGTCACGGACCATGGTGGTCTTATAAAACGCGGTACGGATGGTTACACGGCAGCCGTTGCCCGCAGGAATATTTCTTCAAGGGATGTTAGGAAATGATGAGACAGAAGTTCAACAGAGGAAAGGATCGCAGATGAACTAGTCGTTAGTACCATTCAGCTCGTTCTCTCCTTGCCCGTTTACTTCAACTGGTTCCTCTTTTTCGGTTTTCAAACGGATCTCCTCTCCAGATGCACCCGTTGCGCCAGGCAAATTCGCCGACAAGGATACAGGGACCTGAAATTAAAGTAGATTTTCTTACGATTCTCATTTTCCTAAAAAAAAGAAAAATGTATTACTTCGGCATTCGACGGAGATGGTGGCGTAATTCCTCCGTTTTGTGGACTTGCAAGTTTTCCAGAAGTCGCATTAGGGCTCGGAGTTGCGTTAAGAGCAGGAGATCCCACATTCACCACAGGTGCTTGTGAAGTTTGTGCAGCTAGCGTTGAAAGTGCCGCTGCTGGATTCGCGAATTGAGCCAAAGCAGCCGAATTTGGCGTCATCAACAACGGGTTCAGGTTCATACCGCCCATGGCCAGCAACGGATTTCCGTATGGGAACGCACCCATCTGACTCATTTGCGGTAAACCATTGAAGCCTGAAAAAAATATCAATGAACATGATTAGCTTCTCGAGGAGGCTGGCCGGAGTCGAAAAACCCTCAAAAATGTTGCAGTGACCACTACTGATACCTACTGATACGAAAATGCTACTACTAATAACAGAAGCTGGTAGCCAAGTAAACTTACCAAAGTTTTGCATCCCTACAAGTGGATTGTAACTGCTGGGACCAGGTTGGTTCGCGGCAGCAGCAGCGGCAGCGGCAAGTGCTCTCCGAGCACCACCACCATTGGCTAGCAGCTGGTCCTTGTTCACACAATTGAGCAAATCGTTCGGAAACCGATTCAGAATTGCACGCCGTACCTGAAAAAATATAAAACTTCAGTTTCAGATTTTCAAATTGAGAAAGTTATTGATCATTTGGTAGTTCTAAGCATCATTAGCTCGGATGGTCAATTGACATCAAGTTTCAAAGACTCGAAAAAGGCTCAATTTTTTTGCAGACGAACCAGAAGCACGTCCAGTTTTGCCCGACAAATCGCACTTTTTGGAGAGACGAATATTGTAAGTAAAAAAGGAGTTCCTGTGGGGCGGAGTAGAGGTCTGTCTATCCAGATGGCACGAAGTCTGCCCACCAGACACATGGCCCATGGATTCCAAATCACATGTAGCCTACGCCTTCCATGCCTTTCACACATCGTGGTCGATGCAGTCCAAATATGCATTCATGAGCCATATTTTTAAATGGAAGTAAAATGCGTGTCGCATCAGGGAGGGCGATAACGCTAGCAGTGATCCGTTCTACTATATGACCGATCTTTCAATATACATAGAAAGTAGCCCCAAAAAAGGCATAAACCTATACCATCCACGACTTAACTGCCGTAAATTGTCACAATACATGCTTGAAAACAACTGGTTAGTATGTTTGACCTAATTTCAGGGGTATAAGCCGCACGTATTTGCAGGATCACAAAAATTCACGCGATAAAACTCGCAAAATGTCCAGTCACAGCAAGAACAGCTACCGTCTTAGCTGTTTTCAAAACAATTTTTATTCAGTATTATTATTACGAATTTATTTCACCCAAAAAAAACTCAACGACGTGAATCTGCTCGTTGATGGAACTGCCGCCGGTCAATAACCTACTATACTACTACTGCAACTATAACCTACTATTCCAAGAGGAACTGAGAGCCCAATTTTTTCGTGAGTAAAAGTTGCATGGTTCAAGAAAAAGGGAAAGTATACCCCAGAAAAGAGGGTAGCCTGTTGAGACACTTACCTCTTTAGCAGCATTAACCCTCAGTTCTTTACAGGAGCTATCAGAAAACCATGACGCATGAGGTGTATGTATCACATTAGGACATTGAGAAAGCGGATCTGAAATCAACAATGAGTTGAACATAAAAAAATTTCGGAAATATACAGTCCCGCTGGCTGCGGGCGAAGGGGGCGTGTCCAAAAAAGGGGGTTTGGCGCGCAATGACTGACGGTAAACGGATGATAAGCGATATGATACAGTGCTGTCGCTTGCTGAGAAAAAAGAAGAAACGAGCCGGCGCTCCGACAAACTCATCCCCCCCCCCTTGGCATAACCATTTCTCCGCAGCAAATAAGGCTGTAACAGCCATTGATTCTGAGGAGTACAGGGGAAGAAATAAATAAAAAAAACCGTAAAAAACTTACTCATAATGTTTCCTTCATAGGGTTCCTGCTCATGAACATCCAAGGCGGCACCTCGGACATGACCGGATTTCAGAAAACTAGCGAGATCAGCCTGAATGGAAAAGCATCAATACACCAGTAACACCTTCTGCATTACACTGGAACTACAACTTGAAAAAGCCTTCAAAATGCTATAAAAACGATAGGGGTTCAATAAGCCTGTCTTTGGGCCAGTCTCACAACTTGAGATGATCAGGAACTGAGGAAGAAATTAGAGGGAGAAGGATGCAGACATGAAAAGAGGTGGAACAAATGAAAAGAAGACAAAGGAAGGGGAATAGAAACTGAAACTGAAGTTCTGAGGACATACCTCATCGATGAGACCTCCTCGACTCGTATTAATGATGAATACACCCGGTCTGCATTGTTTCAGTGTTTGCTCATTGATGATGTGTCGAGTTTCATCCGTCAATAAGCAATGCAATGAAATGGCATCACTTTTCATCAACAAATCGTCCAAAGCATAACACCTGAAAGTTATCATTAAAGTTTTTACGTATGATATCCGTAAAACAGCCCAGTTTTGAAGTAAATGCACATTAAGCTCGGGTCACCTGGACCAGAGCCCCTCCCAACTTTTTCAATCATGGTTTCTTCTATAAAGATAGCAAAGAAGGGGAAAGGCCCCGCGCATAAGATGCGAGATGTAAAAGAATAAAAGCATTGCTGAGAGGCTGTCTTGCAGATTTTAGAACACACATTCAAGTACTTGTTCGTGATGGGTAAGAAGTCGAGCCAGGGACTGTAGCTACCTTGGATTTAGCAGGCTACGAAAGTCAGGTTGAAATAATCCAGCGTGAAATGGACCATGCATATCGATTACGACATCAGGTTGTTGGAACATTTTTTTGCAAATATGACACCCTCCCGCAAATTTTATGACCACCCTCAATTTTCTTCCTCGGCAGACCCCCTTCGCAGGGGGGGGGAGGCATAACGCGCATAATACGGACCTATGACCACTACCAGCCACCCAAATTATAACGTGTCACTACCATTTCTCCCTCAAAAGAGCGGGAGTACGATGCTTCATCTACAGCCATCCAGCATGGCGGCAGGCAGAAGGGGGGGGGGGAGGGGGGAGGGGAAGGGAGGGAGAGTTATAGCCGGAAGAGTATAGCCATACGATCGACAATCGGAGTTAGTAAAACTGCACACTACTCACTAGGAGTATTTAGTGCGCCCGCAAGCAGGGTACAGCATTATGGTGAAAAGACGGTGTCAGTACGACTTCCTTTAGAAGTTCATCTTCCAGTACAAACCTCTTTTCCCACGTACTAGATGCTGCAAAGATTCCCAGATGCTCCAAATGATCCCTACCAATTTTCCAAATTCCCCAAAATTTTCCCATTGTTTTTTCCTTGGGAAGGAAATCTGGCGTCGTGGGGGATCGTCGCCACTCAACTACCAATTCCAACTATCGGACATAGTCAAGTAGAGTCGTATAGCACTATTGTGACGACGCCAACTATGAAAAGGGAAGTACAAAGCGTGAAATGGGAAGATTGGTAGAAGTCAGCAAACGGAGAAAAGCTTGTCGCGGCTCCTAGCCATTTCATTCAAAGCCCAGGTACACCTGACCAACTGCGACCGGATGATGGGAACGATGCTGTGCTCTGCCTGCAGGAGAAAAATCAACAGCGCCAAAAAAAAACCTACTGAGAGCTAACTACCTTAGCCTTACAAGTCAACAAATATGCCCTTACTATGGATTCCACAGCAATGATGGACACTGTTTATACAGTCCGTCATCAATGGAATTTGCGTACGACTGCTTTTGGTTCACTTGCAGGTAACACCGAAAAATGTCCTGCTCGAAAGCTTTCTCCATTCAGTTCTGTTCTGTTATTAGGTTGTCCGGAAAGTTCTCAGCGTTTTGGGTGTTTCACTTTAAACGATCGTAACTTTTTTAATACTCATCGGATTTAATCGAAATAGGCACCATTCGAATCAGCACACTTTTGCCAATGTGACAGCAGTCGAGAAATCCCATCAAAGTAAAAAACTGGGTGGTCGAAAATTCACGAAATCCACGAAGGCTTTTTTGCCTGGTCCTGATTGATGAAGTATTTTCCAGCAAGGAAGTTCTGAAAATGTTTGAAAAGGTGATAGTCGGTTGGTGAAAGGTCTGGAGAATATGGTGGGTGAGGTAGAACTTCAACCCCCAATTCGTTCAATTTATGGATAGTGATTTGTGAAACGTGTGGGCGGGCGTTGTCATGCAAAAGAATCGGACCCTTTCTTTTGATAAGTGTTGGCTGCAGCTGACAAAATTTTCGGTACATTTCGTCGATTTCTTCACAGTAGGGTTCTGCTGTGATGGTTTGGCCTGGTGATAAAAAGTTATAGTGGATCACACCAGCCGATGACCACCAAGCCGTGACCAGAATCTTTTTTTCGTGAGGGTTCGGCTTTGAAAATTACCTCGGTGGTTCGTCGAAATCCAACCACTGTCCGGAACGTCTCCTGTTATCATACATGACCCATTTTTCATCACAGGTGACAATTCGGCCCAAAAACAGGTCGTTTCTGCTGCGCAAAAGCAATGCAGAAGGAACCTCGAGACGTGCCGATTCCTGCCGGTCACTCCGATTGTGGGGCACCCAATTGTCGAGTTTTTTCACCTTCCCAATGCGTTCCAGACCATCTGCAACAGTGGATTTGCCAAGGCCTAGCTCTTCTGCTATCTCTCGAACTGTTTGGGATGGGTCAGCCTCCAAAATCCCCCTAAAATCCTCGTCAGATATTGCTTTAGGTCGACCGCTATGAGGTTCATCTTCAAGGCTGAAATCTCCAGAACGAAATTTGTTGAGCCATTGCCGCACAGTGCTTTCTCTAGCACTATTGGGCCCCCACACCTGGTTAATTTGTTGAGCTGTTTCGATTGCGGATTGCCCCAATTTATAGTCGAAGAAAAAAATCGTCCGAAGTGCTCTTTTCACATGCTTGAAAAAATCTTAAAAAAGGGGTTTATCAAGCAATGGTGAAACGGCAATTATACCATCAGATAGCGCAAGAAATTCTCTACAGGATGTGCTACTGAGAAGCAAGGCAGAATGAGTTTTTAATCAGCAGTGAATGTACAAAAAATAGGTGCACAAAACGCTGAGAACTTTCCGGACAACCTATATATTACTGCCCTGGTTCTACAAAAATACTTTTTCTCAGTGTTACAACTATTTGTTGAACCACGCGCGTCATATCTGGATGCCTGCGACTGCGAGACGTTTTTTGAAGTGTACAGTAAACATTGCGTAATACAATCAGCCTAACCTTTCAACACCTAGGGCTTTTTCAAATCCATCGGGTACGAAGGGATCATAGAATGCGATGTTCATTCCAAAAGAACGAGCCCGTAAAGCGACGGCTGTTCCGACACGTCCCATACCGATGATACCAAGTACGTCACCACGCATACGTTTACTTCCTCCAGCTACTTCTCGCACGTGTTCCGCTCCAACCACCTGAAATTTAAGTAATGAGTTCATCAAACCTGATTTGACCACAGAACACTTCCATTACTGCATCATAACTGAACATTCCACATTTTGATGGCTGTGTTACAAAAATTTTTGGCACTATTGAACTATTCCTACCCCAAAAACTCAAAAAAATTTTCTCGCTGAAACGTTGCCTATAGATGTAATTCGATGCGCTGATCACGAATATCACATCCGTTTCAAGCGCTGGCGTCATTTGGCGCCATTATGCGCCAATTTGGCGCCCACC